GACACCAGAGGACTCACACAGGAGAGAAACCTTTTGAATGTCCTGATTGTGAAAAACTTTTCAATCAAAATTCCAGCCTAGTGATACACCAGAGGACTCATACAGGAGAGAAACCCTTTGAATGTCCCGATTGTGGGAAAAGTTTTACTAAAAACTCCCATCTCATTAGCCACCAGAGGATTCACACAGGAGGGAAACCCTTTAAATGTCCTGATTGTGGGAATAGTTTCAGTCAGAACTCCCATCTTGTGAGACACCAGAGAACTCACACAGGAGAAAAACCTTTTGCATGTGCTGATTGTGGGAAAAGTTTCACTCGGAATTCCAGCTTGGTGATACATCAGAGAACTCACACAGGAGAGAAACCTTTTGAATGTCCTGATTGTGGGAAATGTTTTAGTGAGAATTTCAGCCTGGTGAAACACCAGAGGACTCACACAGGAGAGAAACCCTTTGAATGTCCTGATTGTAGTAAACGTTTCGGTCAGAGTTCCCAGCTCGTGATACACCAGAGGACTCACACAGGAGAGAAACCTTTTGAATGTCCTGATTGTGGAAAAAAATTCAGTAACAATTCCAGCCTGGTGACACATCAGAGGACTCACACAGGAGAGAGACCTTTTGAATGTCCTGATTGTGGAAAAAGTTTCAGTCGGAATTATGATCTGGTGATACACCAGAGGACTCACACAGGAGAGAAACCCTTTGAATGTCCTGATTGTAGTAAAAATTTCAGTAAAAATTCCAACTTGGTGAAACACCAGAGGACTCACACAGGAGAGAAACCATTTGAATGTTCTGATTGTGGAAAACGTTTCAGTGAGAGATCCCATCTCATTGCACACCAGAGAACTCACACAGGAGAGAAACCATTTGAATGTCCTGATTGTGAGAAAAATTTCAGTCAGAGTTCCCAGCTCATTATACACCAGAGGACTCACACAGGAGAGAAACCATATGAATGTCCAGACTGTGGGAAAGATTTCAGTACTAGGTCTAACCTTATAAATCATGTGCTTATACACACAGGGGAGAAACCATTTAAGTGCCCCGAATGTGGACAGTGCTTCAGGAAACCATCCACTCTTATCGCACACAAGAAAATCCACATGAGGCCCAAAATGATATGTTTACAGAAGGCTGAATTTCATTTCTAATTGAGAAATTGACTATTTAATTTGACTACAATGGATTTGCCTAGGTTTTTTTTGTAGTCAAATATGTCATAGTATTAGAAAAAATTGGAACATATTTGTTTGATAATAGCTGTTTGGCCATCAGCAGCAGAAGGTGCTGGATATTTATTTTTGCAGATATTGTGCAATCCTCTAAAAATCTTTCTGGGGGTGTTCTTTGCATTTTTATCTTGATAAATGATAAAAATGCCACATCCAAGCCTTTTTCTCCCTGCGTGTCCTTGAGATTTTCAGCCCCACAATTCCCCAGCCAGCATCTCTTCAGGATAGGAGCACTGAGACTATAGTTAGAGATTGTGGCTCCTCATATAAGAATAATAACAACAATAGTAAAACAAAGCGTGTGGTCCTCAATGGAACCGCATCTACATGGAGGGAAGTTTGTAGTGGGGTGCCCCAGGGCTCTGTTCTGGGCCCAGTGCTCTTCAACATCTTCATCAACGATCTGGACGAGGGGTCTCTAACAATACACTGAGCTCTAAGCACATAGCGCTTAGAAGCAGTATCCTGAATAACGGGAAGGGAGCTTCCTATAATCTCAGCTGTCCTTACCACTCTCTATATGAAGCTTCTATCTGAGGCATTGCTACTACCAAACCAAACAGTAATGAAGTTTGTTAAAATGCTCTCAATCGTGGCTCTGTAAAAAGTGTCCAGGACAGAAGGAGAAAGATACATGCTTTCCTCAGTAGAGGGGTTGAATGTTCATTTTTTCCTAACAGTTTCAGGAATTCAGTGCACCAAGCATGTCTGTTCAGATTGTGTTGAGAATGAGGCACGCAAGTTGAAGAAACCATATGAATAGTAAATATATTGGGGGCGTTTGGGGCAGTGATAAAAGCAGTGTAAAATTTCGGATGTAAAGGCTCTCCTGTCTTGCATGTGATCTTCATGGAGAAGAGCTGTAGGAATACTGAATTGAGGAGAAAGGGAGTTGTGTTCTTGAGTGCAGGATCTCCAGGTTTATTCATAACTCCTTTGATCTCCTTTGTTTTTAGGGGCCTCCTTGTTAGCCTTTGATGGCTGGGAAGGTGTGAGCAGCACCAAGAGGCTAATACTTGTGTGGTCCCCCCCCTTTGAGGAGAGGTGTGAGGGGAAAAATGGTACAGTAAATAATGGTTCATTTCTAAAACACCATTGCATAAGAACCATGAATAGTTTTTGAGAAAGAAAAAAAAAGGAATGTGTCAGCATTTCTGTAAACATTGAAACAAGGTAATGCAAAGCTCTCTTTCCAAAACATGGCACACGTTTCCTGTTCTTTCACTTCTCTTCCAGGGCTCCTTAATTACTTTCAAAAATTTATCCTTCAAATGAAGAGAGGAACATAATTTGTAGCAAAGAAACTGACATTTTAGCTATGCAGATGAACCTTACTTTGCTGGGATTAGAAGACACCAAAGAATTCCAAAATTCTTCATTTCACCAACACAATTCAAAAAGAAAAGTTACCATTTTTTTTAAGTAGATCACATTGCACGTGATCCCTTGAAGGACACCCAAGAAACAGGAGCACGCCAGGCGCGTGGAGAAACCTAGAGCAGTGGTTCTCAACCTGTGGGTCGGGACCCCATTTGGGGTCGATCGACCATTTCATGGGGGTCGCCAAGCAACGCTGTCCGCCATTTTTTTTGTCCGACATTTTTTTCCCTTTTCCGGCGGGTGCCTTACCTCCCTTGGGCTGGGCCAGCTGGTGGTCGGCCTGCTCCGTCTCTGCCGCTTGCCAGCTATGCCTTGGCCGGCGCAGGGGGCGGAACTACGCATGCACGGCGCTCCCGGGCAGGGAAAGTCCTCGACTTACGACCGGGTGGGTAGTCCTCAACTTACGACTGGTTTAGTCCTCGACTTACAACCGGTTGGGGTCACGGCATTAAAAAGGTTGAGAACCACTGACCTAGAGGCTGAGTCTCAAGCTTCAAGTGACTTCAAATTTAAATGTGCAAAATTTCTAACCTTTAAAGTAGTAAAAATACGTTTAATCAATTTTCTTTTTTCCTTGATGTTATATTTTAATGCACATCTTTTATCATGTCTCATCTTATTATGACTAGGAGGTGGAAACCCTTGAAATGATCCAAACCCTCAGGATCTCTTACAGGGCTATATAAAAATATCAAGCAAAATTAAGTAAAGCCAACCTAAGAGTCAGAGGAGCTGGTCTACAGGGAGAGTTCAAAAGCCGTAAGTTCCCGATCAGAGGAACAGTCCATTTCCTCAGAATCAAAGTTTGAATTTCAGATGGAAAGGTGTAAAATATGTGTTATTTGGAGGATATTGGATCTTGAAAGCTGCAGCTTTGAATTTGGGGCTGGAATAGGAAGAACAGCTGAATTGATAGATTTTGCTGGGAGAAAGAAGACCTTGTCAGAGAGACATTCAGGTCCGATACTGCTTTAAGCACAAAGGCATTTGAAAGACCTTGGCCTGTCCCTCCTCTGAGGTCAAGGAAAGAGGGAGTCCACTTCCAAAAAATCTTGCCAAGGAAACTGCAGGGAACTGGGAGTGCAGGATAACTCCTCAAAACCTACTTTTGCAACTGACCGAAGCTTGAAGAGTGAAGCTTGGCTGACTTACCTTCTCAAGATTAGGGATGTGCTGTACCATAAAAGTTTATGAAGGTCTTGTTTGTGTGCACAGGTGCTAAATGATTTCCAGTTTCATCCTATTAATAGAATAATGAAACATGGGAGAATACTGTAACTGGAAACACCCACCCTCATTGCTTCCAAACTACACCTAGATAGGAGATATTATCTTTCTATCTGCATTCTTGCATAGCCTAAATCCACTAGAGGGAAGAATTTCTCTGAGCAGCCTTCCCGATCTCCACAGGAATTAGATTTCAGCCTTATTATTCCCAGTTTGGGCAAAAGACTTGGAGGGCACTAGATTGCAGGAAGCTGATATATAGATTTCTGCACTTTTTTTAGTGGAGATCCAAACTTTTCTATAGCCTAAAACTTTAAGAGTGATTTTCTGTGGCTCCCAAGGATTTAGGATCCAGGAGGTTCAGTGGGTCAGAGGCTCAAAGGGAGCCAGCTTCATTCATGCTGGCCAGAGATGCTTCTGTTGAAAGAAAAATCAAGTCCTGTCCAAGCTGGGTATAAAAAATGGAGACTGCTTAGGAAAGAAGGTCCAATTTATTGAAGAACAGAACCAACAACACTAGGTTGTGAGACAGATGACCAAATGGCTGAGTGGATGGGTTTTTATACTGTCTGGATTCCTATAGGGTCGTGGCTGGCTCTACAGGCAAAAGTGGAAATGCAAATCCTAGGTGTTTGAGCTAATATTGTCCACTTTTGGCTTGCCTAATTGTGTTGCTTATCTGGAGTCTTTTCTCTTTGCTTGTGAATAGACTTTCCCAGGAGAGGCATTGTTGGTCTGACATGAGGAATGGTGAACAGAGGATAAGAAATAGAGAAGTGGAATGGGGGTGGGGGTGAATAGCTTGCAGGCAGGGTTTGAAAAGATATTAAGGTTAACAGTGCAGATGTTAAATAGAGAAACCCACTTGAACACATACAGTAAACTTTGGGCTGTTCTTAAAAGTACAAGGGGAGAGAGAGGGAGGAGAAAAGAAAAAAGAACACAATTGTCTTCATCCTGTTTTGCTGGGCAGGCAAAAAAGGATGAGGGTATTTGCTTTGCTTTGCTTTGCTTATTTTAACATTATTTTTAACAGAATTTAAAATTCTTTTCTCTAGGAATTAGAGACATTGAACAGTTACATTTACCTCAAGGACACATAAAGACTTTGACGCACATTCACCCACAAAAACAAAGAGAAAAGGAGAGGAAAACAACTCTGTTTTCACACCCTATGGATGGTGATAATAGTGGCTATTGGCTCTGAGTTCTGTTGTGTGAAGGAATCTGGAATAATATAACCCCAACATTTTATTGATTCCCTTTTCCTTCAGGAACTCAAGGTGGCATAAAAAGCACTTCCTGTATGGCATGCTGCAATTTATAGGGTAAATGTCCCTCAGACAGCTTGCCTACCTCTCGAGACATACTTTTTGGCTCTCAATATTCCATAGCTCCTGGAAGGCATCTTTATGCCTAACCTAACACTGAATGCCTAACTCGTGGCTTTCCATCAGCGCCCTTCAGTCTTACCCTGGATGTATCTTTTGGTGCCTTTAAGTCAGTTGTGGTTTATCCCTTTCCTATTTCCTGAAAGGACTGGCCAAAGTTGCAGATAGTTTCTCCAGCAGATGGTGGTGTAGAGTCCACAGGATGGGTTATTAATGCAATCCTGCTTAGCAGAGAACTAAGGTAAGAAAAAAACTTTAGCCACGCCTCCCTCTGGGTGTGCCTTCCCCAGTTTTTGCCTTAGTTCTCAGCTTAGCAGACGTATTTTCTTTCGTCCGCAAGGCTCCAGACTAGGCCTCACAGCCTCTTTTCTCCTTTCGCTCTTTTTCTTCTATTTTTTCCTTTTGGATCTCAATCTCTGTCTCTTCTGACCTCCCTGAGGCAAGTGTGTTCCCTTCCTTCGGAGAGGGATCGTCGTGCCTGCCGCCCCTCGGTGCCTTCGGCGCGGGACTTTGCAGGCCCCACCCAGGGAGATCGCCGGAGGAGACTCTCACTTCGATCGGCTTGTCCGGTGATCGCGCACGCCGTCCGTCGCCGTTCGTTCGCAGCGGCCGCTGCGCATCTAAAAGCAAGTTTCTGGGCCCGGGGTGGGAGAAGTGGCTGGGGATCTTAGCGTCCCCTCTTTTCAAGT